GTTTGGAACCTAGTGAAAGAAGCACCGATTCTTAGATCAATTTCCTGCAAGTAAAAAAGTAACCGTAGTTATAGTAGTAAACAGAATCCACTTCCAGAAAGTTAGATCCTACAAAATACTGCTTCTCAATTACAACAAGATGGAAGTTCTACAAAAATAAAAATGCAATTACTTGTCTAGCATCAACAGCATCAGCATAATATTTATTTGGTTGGACAAGATTTTGCACAGCTTCGTGAATATCCCTGAACTCAAGATTATCATATACAATGTAGAAGTAATGAGCTTTTGAAAACTACATGGAAAAATGGAAAAAAGATTTAGGATATGGAACCTTTCAATCAAAGCAGAGAAGTGGGCTCTCTTAATATTGAGATGACGATTCACCATTGTACAAACTTCCACCACTTCAAATGCAATATTCTCTCCTTCTCTATCACAATCAAGCCAAAGGACGAGCCATTGACACCTTATAGCTTCTTGTTCCAATGTCCTCTTTATGTCCATCTTGTCCTGACAACAACTTTAACTTCAATGAAAATCCAGCTGAAAAATTAGACATAAAATGCATGGACTACAATATAGACCTCATACAGCTTTGTGCACAGCGTGAATTTTAATGGCATGTCCATGTGGAAATTATGGGACTTGTGAGGCGAGAGTTCCTTGACGGGGTTTCAAAATACTTGTTAGATAGTGCTTGGATGTGGAAGGAGGGCAATCAAGAAAAGGAAAAATTGTTAAGCCAAGCCAAGTTTTTATAGGTCAACGGTGTTATACAAATGGCAGGAGCTCTAGGAGAGCAATTAGATTTCTAGAGTTTTTGGAGTACATGTTCCAAGCAAATCATGGAAGGCGTCATCTTTTATAGGTCTCTACCTCTTGAATGGACCATAGTAATCAACCCAATTTAATGGCGCAGAATGCTCTCTCAATAATCTTCACCTGATCCTATCTACATCCGACATTAAAAATAAAAATAAATTGAAGTCCATAGTGATCAGCCCATTTTTCAGCTAGTTGTTGAGCGAAAACCTTCAACAACCGCAACTCTGATGTGGTAACTCCAAAAGGAAGATGCATTGACGAAAATCAAAAACAGCCACTTGAAACTTGCCATAGGATGGAATTGGCCTAACTGTAGACCTTTCCAAAAGGCCATAACTAGGACCATAGATTGGATGATCCAGTACCACATTGAGGCAAAGAGGAGGGATCCTTTTATATAAATGGGTACAAACTGAAGAATCTTAACACGCCAACCCTTACACGGATTTTGTCTAAAATAAGGCTAATAGTAAAGACCGTTGGTCCTCCTTTCAGAATCTGCTACAATCTAAACTCACAATGCACTGAATGCTACATATTAAACGCATCTATTTGTATCTATTACGAAAACACCAAGCGCAAGAATGCTGTCTATAAAGCAAAGCAAAGTAAACTGCAAGTAAGAAGAAAACGAGACAGACCTCGGGGACTAATTTGCGGACGGGAGCGTTAAAGAGCTCGACTGGGTCGCAGGAATGCCATTTTCGATACCGTTCTTCGAACTCAAGCTCCATGAGATGGCCAGTAACGGAGGTGACGAGCATGTTGCAAGACTGACCTCGAATGGCGTAGTTGAACTCGAAAATCTTGTTGTAGCGAGAACGACCTTCACGAACTCGAAGGCCCTGGTTCCTCGAGAGTATGGTGGCCACAGATTTCGCCACCGATGGCTTCTCTGCCACATTGAGGACGGTAATCGGACGGCCGCCGGCCATGGCTACTGCACCGCCCGTGTCCGAGCAACAGCTCTCGGATTTTGGAGGGCTTTAGACGAAATGGCGGGAATGAAAAAACTGGGTTTACTTTCTTTTCTTTTTTCAATAAAAGTGTTATTTCCTTTTTCTATGTTTAAAACCCCTTATTTATTTATTTATTTGTACATACATACATACATACATACATACATACATACATACATTACATACATACATACATACATACATACATTACATACATACATACATACATACATACATTACATACATACATAATAATAATAATCGTTGGGAATTTTGCAATATTAAAATAATATTATCACGATCCAAACAATTTCAAAAGTCTTATAATTTTTATAATATGAGTCGATGTCACGTGTTAATTTTTATAATATTATCACATGTTAATTTTTATAATATAATTCATCCAATAAAATTAATAAGAAACACATGATTTAATTAAAAATTATTAAAATAAATTAAAATAGACCCAAAAAAACAAAGAATTTTAAAACACCAATTTATTATATTTAAACTTGAATTTTTTAATTTGATACTATTGGATGATGAAAGTCCTACATCCGCTAATTTAAGGAATGATCGTTCGTTTATAAACAAAGAATACTCTTCCATTGATATGAGACATTTTGGAGAGCCTAAAGTAAGCTGATGAGAGCTTATGCCGGATAATATCAGACAATTGTGGAGAGTTGTGTTCATATGACAATTCTTACATCTACGGTATAAACGCTCGTTCTAGACCGTTGATGAATAATAAAGATTCTCACCCAACCCATTTGCGGGATTCAAACGATACTCAAGTCGGGCATCGGTGTTCGAGTATCGTGAACTTTCAAGGTCGTGAGATATTTATATTTATATGAAAAGTTGAACAAAAACGTGAAAAGTTCAGCAAAAGCAGGAAAAATTCAACGCAATTGGAGGTTTTGGAGCCATCAAATTGGACCTTTTTGGTCGTTGAAACCAAAAGGATGGAAGAAACATGGAAACCCAAATGGTCGCGGTCCCCTTATTTTGCTATATTTACACATCAGTCCTTCCTTTTCAGTCTACTTCACATTTGGCCCAAATCTTTCCCCTTATTACTTGTATGCATAATTGAATTTTGGTTTAATTCTTATTCACCAAACTTTCCAATTTGATTCTTATATTATTTTTTTTCATTTTAAAATATTTTATTTACGACCAACTTTAAAAAATATATATAATTATAATTCGAATTTTTATTTTAGTTATAACAAATTAGTTTTTCATTTTTTTTAAAATTAAGAATTTCACATCGTGTATTATTTATTTTATTATTCAATTTTTACAATATTTTTAAAATTTAAGTAAAAAAAATATTGTTTTTTAAATGTGAAAATTAGAGTAAAAAGAGGAGGAAATTTTCAAGATTAATAAAAATAAAATTGTCATGCTCTTAAAATTTTATTTTATGAAAGTTACTTATTTAAAAAAGATTAATATATTGATATTTTTTTGTATAAATTAGGATTAAAAAAAGGAAAGGAATTAAGTAGTTTTACATTAGAAAGCCCAATAACTTTACTACTTTTACAATTTTGACTCGTTCTGTGGGCCACAAAGAGAAATAAGAATAAAAGAGGCCCTCCAATGCAAAAAAAAAGTACAAAACGAAAGAGAAGCGAAACCCAGACGCCGAGTCCATAAGAATCAACGGACTATATAAACCCGCTCTCGCTCCTTCAAAGTTCATATCCCCCAAATCAGAATTTCCTCAATTTTCATCTTCTTCCTTCCCTTGCTCTCTCGTCACAGAATCGACAGTTGAGAGAGAGAGAAAGATCAATGGCGAAATTTGTGGAATTGTTGGATGTAGGAGTGAGAATGGCGGCGAGATTTCACGCTCACTGTCCCCAAACTGCTCGGCTTTACTATCATCCTCCCTCCGATCACGATGGCGACAACCACCACAACTATCTGCACCAGTTTTTTCAGGCCAGCGATGGCTTCCGGCACGGCGGACACTCGACGGACCTGGTGACGGGCTGTGGAGTGGAGACGGTGGCTATGGCTAGGGGTTTTGATGCTGAGATCGTGTTTCATACGGCAGATTTTTGACGATTTGATTTTATTAGGGTTATTCTTTGTCTATTTGATTTGTGCATGCCATTACACATGCCAATTGAGAGGTGAAATTGATATGAATATACGATTGTTATGCACTAAGTTCATAGTTCATTCTGAAAATTCCAAGTTGAAATACTAGAATTTGGTTAAAAAAAGAATTTGTGGAGTGGTTGACGAAGAAGAAACGCGTTTTCTCTGGTGTTTTTGTCGTTTCGGAGTAGTTCAAAGTTCCGAGTCGTCGAAGATGGATGGTTTCGAGACTCAAATGCATGTTGTTGCGGGGAATCTCTTGAATCATGTGCCTTAGTTAACGCCTTCCCAGCTAGTTATTCCGCCCATTTATTATAAGAAACAAATTTAGTATCACAACAAAATTCCAACTACATGCATTCCAACTTGACTTTGGCCCTCCAAAATTGAACAATTCTTACAATTCTTTGGAATTAGGATTACCAATGGAGGCTTTCTAACTTTACTTAGCTCGTGAAACTTTGAGTCACTGCACCCAACTCTTATGATTCAATTTGGGTCAGTTGGGGTTGTCGGGTTCAATGTATACTCCTACTTATTGTTTTCCCTTAATCTCTTAACATTCCACGGATACGATAGAAATCCAAATACTAGGCTAGTTAAAACATAACTTTTGTGTGACTACCTCATGCGTGCATCTCGTATTCTTCCAACTTCTTTGATCATTATGCGTGCATCTCGTATTCTTCCAACTTCTTTGAATCTTGTGTGAGAGGTTATCATCTCACTAAGTTTGACGTACCATTTTTTTTTATCTCTGTGACTGACCTATCAAACACTTATAGATCGGTGCTATAAATGTATGGCTTGTTGTCAAACAAGTACATACATAGGTCAATATGCTATGTGAACTAACACACACCCAAACAACCAAGCAAGTAACTTTATTGACTACGAGTAGCAAGTAGATCCAGCTTGTCCTAATTATAAAAGATAAGAGATCCATCGACCAAACTATTGGCAAATGCTTAAAAGTTCCTATATTTTTTCAAAACTACAACCTTGTATTTAAAAGTTTCAATATGTTCGGGATTTTGACATCTCTTCAAATATAATGTTGAGATTTTGACTCCCAATGAGAGTGATACAATATAATGGAAGGAAAAAGATAATGTATGAGAAAAGATATAAGCATACTATTCACCAGTAATCCTTACAAGAACAAGTACCCTCGACGAACTTATGGAATCGAACTCGATCTCGTACAATGATTTCCCTTTCATAAATCTTACTAATTATCTTAATCACTTCATGGCAATCTCCACATACCCTCAGATTCTTCACTACCCTAATCACAACAGGTGCTCTAGTTTTTAGTAGCCCATATGCAATAGCAAATCTCTCACTATGCTCACCTAAAGCCCCTTCTTTCTCTTCATACATGACTTTATGAAGTACATCCGAAACACTAGGTCTATACCCAGAATCCCACACTCGCTTAGCCATCTCTTCCATAAACTCCCTCAATATTTTCACCTCTGGATGGGACTGATCACCCATCTCAAACTCATGTACAACGCCATCGACTTCGATCGAGCTACAACCAGGTATTGGCTTTACGTCGTTCTCCTTCATCTCCTTTCTTAGTTCACTCATCTTCTCCCATTGTGAAACAGAAGAATATAAATTTGAGATCACAATATAGTTCTCTGCATTTAAGGGTTCTAGTTGAAGAAGATACCTTGCGACGATCTCGCCTAGATTCGACAGCTTTTTCTTCTTACAACCCTTTAGCAAACTCCGCCAAGTTGCAGGATTCGACGGGATATTTGTCGTCGTAACGATTCTATAAGCTTCTTCAACGAGACCTGTTCGGCATAGTAAATCAACTATGCAACCATAATGCTCAACTGATGGCTCAATGCCACATTCAAGCATGAGTGACCAAAACCTTAGACCTTCAGAGACTATTCCACCGTGAGCACATGCTGATAAAATGCCAATGAAAGTTACACGGTCCGGCATCACCTGAAAATCACCACAGAAATAACAAGTTTTTATCTTGCATATGTCTATCAAACAAAAACTAGAACTGACACAGAAGAATGAACTTGTAAAGGAAGAAACGTGCCATTAGAGATCAAACAATAATGTTAATCTTATGAGAAGTAGAATTGGAAGTTCACGAATGTAATTGAAGCTTTTCAAAGTTCATTAACAATTAAGAAATTTGTACATCTTCGTGCATTACCTCAGCTTCCAACATTTGTCGAAACACGCCAATGGCATCCTCCGAAAGTCCATGATATGCAAACCCCATAATCATGGAGCTCCAAGCTCTTGTATCTCTCACAGGCATATGAACAAAGACCTGCTTCGCCCTCTCAATGCATCCACATTTAGCATACATATCTACAAGTGCAGTGCCAAGCTCGAGATCGGTCAAAACAGAATGTTTCTCAATATAAGCATGCACCCAGCTGCCAATATCCAAGGCCCCCGCCGCAGCACAAGCCGAAACCACACTCACTAGAGTCACCGCATCCGGCTCAACCCCGGCCTTCTGCATCTCCCTAAACAACCCCATAGCTTCATCCACTGCTCCAACTCTCACATGCCCACTAATCATCGCAGTCCAGGCCACCAAGTTTCTGTCAGGCATTTCGTCGAACACCTTAGTGGCAAGACCAATCTCTTCACATTTCCCATAAAAGTTAACCAACGAAGTTTGAACAAACGAACTACTACCAAACCCATCTTTCAAAACACGGGAATGAACCTGTAAGCCCTCTTCAAACGCTGTAACAATCGCACAAGCCTTGAGAACAAAAGCCATAGTGAAGGAGTTCGGAACAGGGTACCCTGTTTCAGTAAGCTTCTGGAACAAAGCTATCGGTTCCTTGGAAGGGTTTTGAATCTTGGAACAGCCCTTGATCAGAGAATTCCAAGAGAAAATGCTGGGACGAGAAATTTGAGCGAAAACTAAGCGGGCATAATCGATGTTGCCGAGCGGAGAAAGAGCACAGAAGACAGTGATTTTGGAAAGCGCAAAGGAAAATGTGGAAAGAGGAAGTGGGCGTGTGAGAATGTGGGCGTGAAGCTGCCGGAGCACTCTCATGTTGGGACATTTTCTGATGAGGAACGCAAATCGTTCTTCTTCTTCCAGTTCTTGACTGTTCTTGAAGCTCCCAGCTCTGGTGATCCAAGGATGATCGGAGGGAAAACGAGAGGCGCTGCCAAGCTTTCTTACCTCTTAATTTTTGAGGTTATACTAGCTTTAATTTTATATTTAATATATGTTTGAAATATAATTCCTCAAATTTTATTTTAATAATAAATAAATAAATTGACACTAAATTTGTAATTTTCAAACCTGTATTTATAATTATACTAAAAAATATGTTTTTTAAGTACAAAATATAAAATTTCAAATTTCGAAATTAAATAAAATATATATATATTTATAAGTAAATAAGGTTTATATTTAATAATAAAAAGATATGAAGGTTAATAAAGGCTAAATAATACAACTCATAAAGTCTTTGACTTCACACTTTATAAACATGAATATGAGATATATTAGATTATTTTTAAAGTTTGGATACCATTTATGGTCTCGAGGTTCAGTGACTATTGGGTCGGATGGGCTCGTGTGCCTGGTAGGAGTCTCGAAAAAAACTGCGACATCCTGGGTTTGAGCTAAAAAGGAAGCTGACTACCCTGAGGAACAATAGGTCATACGACTAGCCAATTGGGTCGAAAAATCCACTCAAATTTCGACTGTGCTGACCAATTGTGAGGTCATTGGGTTCAAGCCGAGAATGGAGCTGACCACCTCAAATGAGAAAATAGGTCAAGCGACTAGCCAACTAGGTCGAAAAACCCACTCAAATTTCGACCATGTTGACCAACTATGAGGTCATTGAGTTCGAGCCGAGAAGGGAGCTGACTACCACAAGAAGGAACAGGTTGGACGACTAGCCAATTAGATTGAAAAACCTACTCAAATTTCGACCGTGCTAACCGTGGTTAGCTCAGCTTTGACGTGAAGCAAATTTTGTAGGGTGGCTTATTAAGACACCTAACTAAAATCACGAATCTAACCTAACATGAGTTTAAAAGTTAGAGAAAGTAACGAAAATTGGAACATTCTTCTTCGTTCTTTGTGGCTCAAAGCTGCGATGACAATGCCCTACTCTATCGCGTTTACACTTCATGGTGATCCTCTCTCCACATCTCAATTACTTCGTCCTAATTCACAATCCCGCAGTTATATATGTGTTTCTTCACGGCCGTTGGATTCAGCGTGAGCGAGTTGACTTTTTTGTTGATGGATTCTTCAATTTCGTCACGAAAATGGTTGATCAGATTCCGAACAAGCCTCCTCGATTTTGTTAATTTCACCGTCTTCCTCTTTCTCGACTTTCTCGACGCCATTCTCTGCGTAATCTACAGGTATATCGATCAATTTCTGGAAGGGAAGACCACCGCGTGTTACTGTGGAAGCAGGGGAGAAGAGAGGGGTAATGCGGATGGCGACGGCGAAAATGAACTCTCCGAGACGCTTTATGGTAGGAGAAGTGTTTTCCGGAGGATTGCTTTGGTTGGATTCTCTGGAAGCTGTAAGGACTCTGAGAAGATGAATAGTGGTTCAGCGTGGAATAGATGGTCCGACTGTGGGTGTTCGTCCTGTGTTGATGGGAAGGAGAATCGGAACCAGAAGCTTTATGTTGCTGCACGAGAGCCTCCACGGGGTAAATTTCCACACAACTAGTTTGTTTATTCTTGTTCGTTTCCATAATTTTGGAAGTTCCATTGGTTTTGACAGGGAATCTATATCTGATTAGTAGTTAATCTAATGAAGGTTGAATTATGAATTAGGTTATTAGGCAAAGTTTCAATTTGGTTTGGTTGTTGCAAAAGCTTCAAATAGTCCTATGGCTATAGTCAAACCTCAAAAATCGTCCTTGCTATATAGAATACAGCATGTTATTGAGAAAGTGATATCAATTTGGCCTGCTATATTGAATGCAGCGTGTTATTGGGATAGTGTCTCTTCAGTTTGGCTGTCTCTGTCAGTTAGCTGCATTTGGGTTTGGGACCAATAGAAGAAGAGTGCTGATAGGACAATTGAATAAAGGAGATCCTAAAAATATGCAAATATGGCTATGAAAAGCTTTAAAAAATTTATAGTTACAATTAAGAATCATGGATCTCCACAATAGTATGATATTATTCACCTTGAGCATGAGCTCTCATGACTTTGCTTTTGGTTTCCTTAAAAAGGTCTCATACCAATGGAGATGTATTCCTTACTTATAAAACCGTGATGATCCTCTAAATTAGCCAATGTGGGACTCCCTTCCAACAATCCTCAACCGTTACAACCTTTATCATTAAGCTAAACCTTGCTTTTCAATGATTTGACCATAAAAACTTAAAAATTAAATCGGCATAGTTTAAGCAATCCTATGTGGTGTGATCTCCTTGACATTTTCTAGAAAGCATGTGAGTGAGGTAAAAGTATGCTGAAAGGATCGTGTTGGTCTATGAAAATAGTCTTTGCTTTTACAAGTGATGTGCTCACGTGGAGCGTTATAGAAATAGACGGTTTTTAGAAAATCTGTTATAATCATAAAGAATAAATTGAAACTTAAAAAATTACAGGTACTTGAAGTTAAAAAGACTAAATTACAGGTGCTTCTGCTGTTTAAACTACCCTGTAGTTTTCTGGGTTTCTTAAGTATTTTTTTCCCCTGGTTGTCTAGGTCGAAGTGGGAAGCCCAAAGAGAATGTTATATTCTTGCACGGATTTGTTTCTTCTTCATCGCTTTGGACCGAATCAGTATTTCCTAATCTATCTGAGACTCAAAAACTTAATTACAGACTATTTGCTGTTGACCTCTTGGGATTTGGAAGAAGTCCAAAGCCAAGGGATTGTTTTTACACTATGAAGGATCATTTGGAAAAGATTGAAGAGTCTGTGATTCATCAATTTGGCTTGAATTCCTTCCATTTGGTTGCACATTCCATGGGCTGTCTAATTGCTCTAGCCTTAGCTGCCAAGTACTCAAACTCTGTCAAGTCAATTACCCTCGTTGCTCCTGTAAGTGAAGACAAACGCTCTTATCTTTGGATGAATCTATTATTGTTTCAAAACCCAATTAGTGTGTCCAGTTACAATCCCCACCTACCTGAAAATATTTGAAAAAAGTAGAATCTTAACTAATTGAAGGTCTAAATTTAGTCTCTTCTTCATGTTTAGGGTATTAATTGCACGCTAAAAAGAACTCAAATAAGTTGCAAATGTTGTAATCCAATCGTTTGATTTAAATTCTGATTCTTTTCTTGTTTTCACTTCTTTGTTGTTTTTAGCCTTACTTTCCTTCAAAGGATGGGGGAGCTATGACAGTGCTTGAAAACCTGGGTGCTAAGAGTGTATGGCCACCATTGTTGTTCGGCTCTTCTGTAATGTCCTGGTACGAGCACGTGGGTCGGTGTGCTTGTTTTGTTATTTGCCGAAACCACAGAATATGGGAGTGGATTCTAAGACGAATCAATCCCAGAAGGTAATTAATCACATCTTTTGTCACAAATACATAAACTACAAGTCTAGTTTGAGATCCCACGTTGGTTGGGGAGGAGAACGAAGTATTCTTTGTAAGAGTGTGGAAACCTCTCCCTAGCATGCATATTTCAAAAGGAAAGCCTAAAAAGAACAATATCTGTTAGTGGTAAGTTTAAGCTCTTACATCTAGCTTTACACGTACATGTCTAATTGACGTTTGATATTCTGTGTGATTGCCTTTGTTGTTCAGGAATATCGATTTCAGGGTGATTGATTTAACGAAGCACACTCACCATTCAGCTTGGCATAGCATGCATAATGTGATCTGTGGGGGAGCAAAACTGACGGATGGGTACCTGGATGAACTGAGCAGAGCTGGGGTCAAGATTTACATCTACCATGGCGACCAGGACGTGGTAGCTCCGATCGAATGCAGCTACAACCTGAAGAAGAAGGCTGTGGATGCAACTGTAAACACGGTGAAAAATGCTGATCATCAGACCATAATTCTGGGTAGGGAAAGGGAGCTCACACAAGAGCTCGAGTACATATGGGCAAACACCGTTTAAAATAGTCCCCATTGGGCTTTACATGATTTGGGCCCTCCAAGTAAGAAGCCCATCACTTTATGTAACATATATTTCTTTTATTTTTATAATTCTCTAATTTAACTCTTAAAAATATTTTTTAATTATCTTTAAAATTTTAAAATATATAAATTGAGTGGTAAATTTTAGTTAAAATATTTGAAAATAAATATATAAATGTTTTACTTTGTGGGTGAAAAAGAAAAACGCGAGGACTATTCAATATTTAAAACCAAAAAAAATTAGAACATTTTAACACGTGCCAAATTTGAATTTTATATTATATTTTTACTTTTTAAGTTTTGAATTTTGTTTTTATTTGTTCCCTAAATTTCGAAATATTACTTCTTTTTTTTTTGTTAGTTTAATTTTCCTTTACTTTATAGTTTTTTTAGATTTGATTCTTTTATCTGTTTGCGTGAGTGTTCACTTTCAATTAATTAGGTTAAAATAATTAGTAATGACAAAAAAAAAATAATAATAATAATTAATTTAATGATTTTAAATTAATTAACACAAATGTAAAAAATTCAAGGGTAAAATTGTAAATTTAAAGTTTATAATCCGACAAAAGATGTAGCATCTTGAAAATTGGACTCGAAACTTAAAAGAGTGAAAATGTCAATACTTAGCAGTGTGTTAAAGCTCTAACTTGTATGGACGAGCTGTCGTGGAGATTCTCCAAATCCTATCGATTTCATTTTATGGGTCGGAGTTCTTCGACAATATTCTAAAATCCAATAATTCAATTTTTTTCTTGGTAGAATTTGACCCGTTTCTTTCCACTTTTCTACACACCAATTAATTTAGAAAATAAATAATAATACTCAATTTAAAACCTAGATTCAATTTATAGTGTTTTTTATTCAATCAAGTAAAAACTTAAATTGATGGACAACATTAAATTTAATTATATCAATATTTTAATACTCATTTAACTTTCTGAACTTGAAAAATTATAAAAAATCGAACAGGTAAAAAACAATATAATAATGAAAAAGGATTAAAGTGCAATGTTAGGTTGGGGAAAATATTTTATTTCCTTAATTTATTTTTAATAGTTGATTATTTCCTTTTCACCCCCTTTATATTTTGATTATTGTAAATGGAGTTTAACCAAACCCTAAATGCTCCCCTAACCAATAAATACTTTTTTCGACTTTTAATTTTTTTAATATTCTATTTACCTTTTTTTTATTTAACATTTTGTTTTTGTCCACTTTTTCATTCACCTAATTTGGAATAATAATGTCTTCTCCTAATCTATCTTAAAAAATTATAACATAAATATCCCTCGACGCATAGGACTAGTCATGCATCACATGCCATAGTCGACTCGAGTAAAAATACAATACACCCAACCTCGAACAAAACTGAAATTACAACATAATGTCAAAGATCTCGTCCCGAAAAAATACCCAACAAGAGATCTATCATGCCCGTGCAAGTTCTTTGAACCTCAAACCACTTAACGGATATTACACTTGGACTAAATTGAAATTTCTATAACGATAAGGGCCTAGGGCCGAATATAAATAAAGTAAAAATTAAACGATAATTGACCTGAAAATATAATATAATAAAGGGTATAGAGGGTGTGTTCTTTCCAAAAAGGAATATATTGAGAATGTTGGATAATGTAAATATAGTTAATTAGAAATTAATTAATTAATTAATTAATAAAAGGAGAAGGAGTAACGTGCAATTTGGAGATCTCGTATTACTAGTGGGGGCTGTTTGGCTTCTGGGAAAATACAAAATTTTCTCGGCAAAATTCCCCAAATCCTAATTAATATTTTAATATTATTATGATTCATTGAATTTGTTAATATTTTTCCAAATTAATTAAATATTTAGACCTAATTTATTGGGAAGAGAAATCTGACATTATCTTGGCGGTTAGCTTAATCCTAGAATTATTATAGTGTATTATCTACTTAATTAAAATATTAATGTGACAATATGAATATAAATTATATAATATAGTGTAATAAAATTAGATTCTTTGTGGCTGTTTACAGGATTTGAAAAACCCTATTGTGTCGGTTCATATTATTAAATATATTATTTATTTATTTATTTATTTTGGTATAAAATTCAGAGCCATGTGATGTGATTACGTCCTTATAATTATTATTCACCACGTCAACACAAATGGTTACCCACTTCCCTTTCTCGGAATTTCGATATCGGATGACTATCTCCGCAGATTAAAACGAGTCATTTTCACATGTTTTTTTAAGGTGGCTCGATCATGAGAACCCTGAACTTAAATAAACGTGATTTATTTAGAGCAATCGTATGTTCGATGACCTCTTGAAAAATTTTCGAGAAAATATGTGAGTGAGCTGTTCTACGTGACCGTGTCACAAATGAATGTTGGGATCATCAAGTGTCTAATTTGTATTATGAGCTCTGGGAATAGAGCGTTATGAATATATTTAATTATATTAAATACGTTTGTCATGACCGACATGTAAAAATCATATATGAGTATAATATGTGACACCTATATCCTAATGTTAATGGTTTATTATTATTATTATTATTATAAAGTTTGGTAACGGCGGATTGCCAATAATCAATGAATAAATCATTCTTAACACATCATCGATGTTGACATCCACCATAACAAAATCCCTTTTCCTTTAAAAAAATTAATAAGTAAATTATTACTATTAATATATATATATATATATATATATATATATATATATATAAATATATAGTTTATGTATTTAAAAAAATTGTAATTATAACTTTTATCAAAAGTATAATCTAATTTTTTTATTTTAAAATTTAAAAAAAAAAATACGATTTGAGTTTGGTAGCATTTAGTGTTCGAGTTTTTAAAAATATTTTTTTTCAATTTTTATTATTAAAATAAAAAAAAAATCATTTTAATAGCTTTTTAACTTTTTTCTCTCTTCTCTCAATCGTTTCTCTTTTATGACCGCCATCGTCACCTTCTATTGCTCGTCGTTACGGTCTATCATTCTCAACTGTTGCCACCAACTAACACTATCATCAGTTGTCGTTGTTGCTTCCATCGTTCCTATCTCCATTTGAAGTGTCTCTCGAAATCACTTTTTTGTGTTAAACAAAAATATTAAAATAATATTTTATCATTAGACAAATTGGAACTATTATCACCGTTAAGCTCGTAATTTTAAAACGTGCGAAGAGATTTTCACACTTTTATAAAGAAAATTTTATTCCCCTCTCAAATTGGAATCTTACAACGAGTAGATGGGTATAGTTTATTTATTTATTTTCAAATTATCATTTCCGTTCTGATGGTAGGGTGACCTTTTAGTGACACGACTATATTACAGGGATACAAAGAAATGTCGAGATCATCCAACATCAAATTTTAATCCTTACCGTATTAAATCAAAATAAAATAAAATTAAAAGGATAGAGATGCAATAATATTTTTATTTATTATTTATTGGATTGATTGTAATATTCAAAGGAAATTCAAACATTCCTTTTAGAAAAAGAGAAGAAGATGAGTCAAACTTTCATAAAGGTATGGTGCAATCGGCGGAGATAAATAATTAATTAATTAAATAAATAAAAGGCTTATATTTTCAACAAAGGCTGCTTTTTGTATTAATTTGCCTTTTAACCCACCAACATTTCTAACTAATCCCCATTTTTCAATTATTATCACATTCCTCCCCTCCCTTTTTCCCTATTTATTTTTTATACCCCAAAACTTTAACAAATTATTTACAAAATCCCACACTTTATATGTGTTTTTTCCCCCTAATAAATATAATAATTTCTAGCTTTTTTTTTTTTCTAATAAATATAATAATTATTAGTGGGGTGTCGTACTTTTTAATGCATAGCATTTGGCTACATTAATAATTAATAACCATCTTATGCTAATTTTGTTAAACCCAAAATAAATAATAAAAATAAGACTCTTCAAGTGGGTCCCACTTTTTAAAATTTGAAATTGAATTATTATCCTGTTCGCGTCAGTTCGCGTCAGTTTAGTTAGAGAATGATCATGAGTTTATAATCAAAAAATACTATCATCGTTGGTGTAGTAAAATTATGAGAGCATATGCTCAAAATGGACAATATCATACAATTGTAGAGAGTGGTTATAACAACGAAACCAGAAGAGAGGGAGTGAAGGAGTAGTTTACTTTTTGGTCCTAGGGTGACGTCAGATGGGTCCCACAATGTCAACAGATGGGGCCCACATTTCAAATCCGCCAGGATTCCCTATCGCTTTATCACTGAAAAATCGTTACCAGGGACGGTGCGCACGTGTGAGAGACACACGGGGGTTATAAAATTAATTAATTAATTTAAAAAAAAATACGAATCCCACTGTCCTAAAACACGAAAAGTAAGAGGAAGATGTTAAGGATATTTAGTAATAAATTATACTTTCCCGTATATATTATATTTGATATTTTATTATAAGGCAAATATCTAACATTTGCCTTATTACTATAGGTATCTTTCCATTTATTGTTATTTTCATTTATTACTATTTCCATATCCTTGTAATTTATTTGATTATAAATAAGATAACTTTCACACCATTTAGGTGTGGTGGATTAATCAAACATTCACAGAAGAGAATCAGTGATCTGATATTATGATGCCATATCGATATGTATGTACTTTACCTTTCTTTTTTACTTTTTACTTTTTACTTTTTTATTTTTTTTATCTTATGTAAAACTAAATTTACCATCAATTTTATTTTTTTCCTTTTAAAATAAATAAATTTAATGAGTCTTATAAAATTTAAATACCAAACCATGCGTCTTTTTTAATATAGAGTTGGATTGTAACCTTAATCAAAAAAAAAAAAAAAAA